TTGCAATAAAAGAAGTCTCACAGCGTTTTACCTCGAACGAGGAGCTTCTAACAATGTGCCTTATCGTCATAAACCTCGAAACCGTGCTTCAGCTGAAACTTACTGACTAAATTCCCCGATACTTGAACACTCTACGGTACAGTCACGGATCTCCTCATGAGCTCACTAAAATGTTCGCACGATTTCTACCTGTAAACGAAGAAGAAATGTTGCGAAGGTGAGAGGATCCCTATTTTCGATTTCAGGCACTGAACTGTGGTTAAATTAAAGAAATGCACAGAGGCATTGGTTTTCATTTAGATCAACCACACCGTGGCAAGTCAACTCAATAAATTGGTGGCTTGAAATCTCTCCACGTCTAAACGGAACCAAATTGAAAGTTATAACACCAGAACTGAATGCAGTATGAAAGTGACTAAAGCTGCTCAGCTGCTATGAATGCTATGCATATAAGATAGCACGTAATGAGTAATTATGCAAATTTTCAGCTCATCCGTCTACATAGTGACTAATGACCTTTCAGCGTAGCTCTCACTATCGATGCCCATAGGCTTCACCAACACCTTTTTCCTGCAACACCTCAAATATTTATGGAGAAAATCACATATTCGCCGACTCTTTTTCTTACACAATCTGCAGTTTTTATGGGAATTCGGCAACACTTAGATGAGTAACGAACGCTTAAGCACATCTTGCGCATTTAGCATTTCCGATGTCCTTCTTCTCTGATACTTTCATTTTCCGCGAATCCACAAGCACACCTCACTACTATGAAACTGAGCCGTAGCCCCCTTCATCAACAGGGCCTAACGAGAGGCCACTTGTTTATTTCTCAAATACTTCTGTCCTTGTGTTTTTTAAGGGAATGTACACCTCTATGAAGCTTTCAGTAATAGCCTAACAGAAGACGGACAGAATCGTAGCCGTAGGAAACAAATGCAATTCCCAGTCACGATATCGTAACTGCGTCAGCCATCCATCGTGGTTGCTACAAGGATTGCAGATATGCTCTTTCTTTCGAATGACCGAATGCCGCAAAGCCACCCGTAATCTCTCCCAACTGATCCTAATAAGGGGTGTAGGCCTTCGCCAAAGTCATCCACGTAGTAATGAGGTGACTAATGATGGATACTGATTCACACCTACAACCTAAGGGCTGCTTAAGAGCTGTGATCGCTCGTTGAACTCAGTGTTCGCAAACGTCAAACCCATCTCTCTGCATGCTACGTTTGCAACAGGTTTAGCGTCTGTTTTTGCGCTTATTCAACCAGTAATGACTCTCAATTGGTTCCCATGCCGAGAGGAACTGGAAATAAACCCATTATAGAAGTGCTGCTAACTTTTGAGTCCACAAAAAGTGAAAATACTAGTGAGAGAGATTGAGGGATGACCTGCGGTGTTTGAGGCGTAGGAAAGTCCACCACAGTACGGCCAAACGCCCGCAGACCTACAAAGTTTGTATGAAAATGTGTACGTTGGCATACAACGACCCACACAATGGAAGCGACAGTGGCAAGATGACAGGCTATGCAAAATCGATTGGTGTAGACAGGTCGTTGACTTACTAGCGAGCAGTCAAATTTGAAAGACGTTTCTAGCCTTGAAAACAGGAAAAAATTGCAAAAGCTCAGTTATGCATCAAAGCAGCATCTCACAGTCCACGATAAATTTGGGGTATTTAGTCTTTTGAAGTAATGGAAGTGAAAGTCCAGAATGGCCCAAAAGTGTCGAAGAAAACGCAAAAATCGACGTATTTACATATATACAAGGCTTCGAAAAAGTAATTAGATTAGGGCTCGGACGAGACTGTAACGATAAAAGTTGCATGGAAGATATTTGGACGAGCTGCCCAGTTGTTTGGGTCATTGCATACAGCTGGCTACAGTAAGCTGCCTGCGTGCAGCTTGTGGGTCCCGGTGCGAATGGTGCAATCTCTATAGCAACTACAACGCCGTGAGAACTCGCCCGCCTTCACATGTTTACGTCGTCACAGCCGGTTTTTTTTTTNNNTTTTTTTTTAAATTTCGACCCCTCAGATCCCTTTCATCTCCGTTAGGGAGTTTTCATCCTCGAATGAAATCTCAGAAACCATTTTCACTGTGAATTGTACCTTTATAGCTTTGCAGTAGCTGATTATTGAAAACCGCAGTGGCGACGTATCAACTGGGAGGAATTCTATCGAAGTCCAATTTCCTTTCACTTAATTTAGTCTTGTGCAGACGTAGCCTACTTCGAAATTATGAACTCGAGCTACTCTCGAAACCAAAATATTCTGTACAGCTTGAGCTCTTTGAGCCTAGTCAGAGACGCGATATGGGTGATCGAGTATATGAACTGTCATCATGAACCCATGCTGCTCAAACCATACCTTAATACCATACCTTATCTCACGTCCTAGTCTCCTTTGTAGCAGTTTGCACAATTTTGAAATGAAGGTCGATATTCCTTCTGAGTTGGTTCAGCACTACTTATTCCTTTTATAAACGGCTGCACAATTAGATATCGTGAAATCTTCAAGATGTCCGAAGAGTCATGCCCTCGTTGAATATGTTGTGAAACTAACGGAGCCGCTCCACAGCACTGACATATTGTCCCTAGAAGTCGGGGACTCGAACTGTCACATTGATAAAGATAGAGCTGCAGAAGTGCAAAAAGCAGAGTTGTTGTATTTTGGAGCTGCAAGAAGTAAGACCATCTGTCAATCAGCTCTAAATATGATTCAGCTTTCTTTTGAGAAGATGTTATGACTGCATGCAATAGAAATTTTTCTCGTCGTCTATTGAACCTGCTCGGGACGGTAATGAGATGGATAACGATCACCGTATCTTGTACATAGAAGTTAGGAATGTAGTATCACAGTTAAGTTAATCACAGCAACTCTCAACTTAGGAGATCGATTCACTTGAAGAAGACTGTAACAAAAAAACTACACAAGAAGTCAAACTGTATCAGAAAGAAGCTATAGGGGTAACCGTACTCGAACTAAACCGCCATCATCTCGTGATTGAGACATAGGGACTGCTACACTTCCGTTAAAGATCCATCTACTCTAATCTTCATTAAAAACCGTGGATTCACACAGATGCATCGCTGATGATTGAACAGAAAGTAACCGTCTAACTTTTTTAGGGGTTCACAGTGTAGACGCACTTAACGCACGGTGAAGAAGTCCGAATATGACCTCAGTGGAAACTAATTGTAAGAGACTTTCCGGTTTGTGACTATTGCCAATACATATTTCCAACCACAACTAGACACCTTTAGTTTGAATATGAAAGTTTCAAAATTATAATCAATGAAATATGAACTATTGATAACTGACCCTTAACTTTAGTGAAAGCAAACTCCCCTGCACATGTGAAAAAGATGGTATTACACATTGTCTTCAGGTTTCTCTCTACCCAAAGTAAAATAAAGCGAATGCGTCCTCCGCAACAAGTCGGTTTCACAACAAAGAACTGCAAAAGGTTCAGGGCGCGTTGGAAGGAATAAAAAGGATAGCGAGGTGTTCAGAAGATGAAGCGAAAAGGAAGGAAGAAATACCTTACAGAAAGAAGAGGAAGCATCTTTATGGAACGCATGGATGCAAGAAATGCAGTGAGAACTTGTGCATTAGTAGGAGGGACTAGTATTAAGGGCCCAGGTAATAACAAAATCGGATCATGCTGCCATCAGGGAGTGAAGTGAATGGGCTAGCGCTTTCAGGAGGGTGAGGAACACAATGGGGTGGTCTTGAAGGTAAGGGTTACGGCATAACGTCTCTGAACGACTTCTCCCACCTTATAAGCTCTTCCTGTACCGCGCGGGCGGTAAACTTTTACTCATCATCTCATCTACTTTGCAGTAAGGGTGGTCTCCGGCTTATCGAAATCCTGTCTCTATGGAGATCAAGGAGTTTGCACTCCGAGCACCTGATTTGAAATGAACTGAGCGATCTTCACAGCATCTTCATACCCAAATGGAATTTTTTCAGGACTCCCATCAAACTATACAAGAAATATTTCGGAAGAAAAGTGTTAGGAGAGTGAGATGCTGGTACGAAGGAGCAAGCGAGAGAACGCCCTTCACGTTGTCTACTTCTACGTGATGTCTACTGCCCAGCTGATTCTGTAGCACAAAGCACCAATTAAAGGTTTATTGGAATCCGTAGCGGGTGTAAAAGCAACACTCAGTACGGCTGACCCATTTGAAACAGGAGATACTACAGAGTAATTGCAGCTGTAAATGGGTGCATGAGGGGATGAACAGTCCATATAATTCTCGCCTACAGCACAGAACCGAGTTCTTGCACTCTCTACGATGACGAATACGGAAGTCATCCCTTTCATGACGGAATGTTTTCATACCCGATATTCCACATAGAAATGACAACTTAGTATAGTTATTACTTTTGCTAATGAAATCATAGAGGAAAACAATATCCACGCTTGACTAATCCATGGACTAGTGGAAACACAAGCGAATATCACAACATAGTTACAATAGCACTCGGTAGGATTCCCAACAACGAACAGTATGTACATGCAGGTCTCCACTGAATAAAACATGCCGGTTTAGAAGAAATTCGAGGAAAAGCAATCTCCATGATCACTGATCAATACCCTCGTCGTAGGTAAGAGGATGTGATCAATCAATCAATCGAAAAACGCATGCACAGAACAGCAGAGATCATAAACAGTCAGTTGTGCTAGCCCCTATTGTAAGCAAGCCACAGAGCGATCACAGAGGGCGCCGTGAAAAGCACAGCCTCGCAAATGCCTTCGAGACGGTCGGCGAGTGAGCGTGAACCGCTTTCGGACAATGCCGGTGTGGGCGGAGGGCTCCACCAACTGCGGTCTGCAGTAGACACGGAAAATTTCGAAGGACTCACAAATGTGGGGGTCGTCTCCGAAAGTCGTTTCTCCAGCTTTTCGATTTCTCGGTTTCGTTCAACAAGAGCACGATTCAGATTTCTGGAGTGACAGACATTACAATGAGCCCTACCCTCAAGAAGAAGTAACTTACTCTGCCAAGGCTTTCAGTTGACGACACTGCCTTTCCTTGCACAAGTCTTCATCGAGATCCGAGCTGCCGTCATCCGAATGGCCAGCAGACCAATGGCCAGAGTCGGGACGAGGAGATCCACTCGCCATAGCTGACTGCCTCTCGAATCGCGTCGAAAGCATAGCTCGCAGTTCTGCTGATTCTTCGTGGAGCCTGGAAAAGGATCATCTTTCAATCTATCTGAAGTCAGGGAGCCAACAAGTGCAAAAAATAACCTGTCGTTTTCTTCCACGAGACGGTCATTCAATAGCTTTACGTTCATGTTTTCAAGCCCACCATTGATCTTCTCCTCAACCAGGCGCTCGAGTTCAAGTTTCATTCGCGCATGTGCTGTCTCAAGTTCCTGTAACAACAGCGACTACAGTTATAGATTCCATGGAAGAAAACTCGCATCAATTTATAGTACTAAAGAATCATCGTCACAACGAGGAGTTACAATGGCCGTATCATAAAACCAACGCAACAGCCTCAATCAAGATGAATAACGATTTTACACTTTTAAAGACACCCGCTAACTTCTTTTCATAACCCAATACTTAAAGTGCCAACAGAAGGAAAAACTTAGCAACCTGCGTACAGAACTAAAGCTCTTGTACCGTAACTTGGTGAGCTCCTACGACTTTGATAGATGAGCCTTAGGAAGGCATGAAGGAAACCATCAAAATAAGACATGGGAGAGTCGCTACAGAAGCAGATTAAAAAGAAACAAAAACGAACCGTCTCGAATATTATAGTGATTTTCATTATTAGTTCCACTGGAATTATGCTAGGCTTCCCATATGGGAATATCCGTAGTAAAAGAGCTGTACTAACAACTTCTCAGCCAACTCCAGAATATTCACTTTCCGGTAAGATCAAGGCAAAGAAGCATAGCCAACATAAAAAAAGCCACAGACACACTACGATGATGGCTTTATCGAATAACTTTATTACTCGGAATACTTGTCCTAATGTCATGTATATAAGAAAATGATATTCTGTACTCCAAAACGAGGATCATTTATTTTGAGCTTACTCACTAATATAGAGTAACCCTGAAAATTTAGGCTTCCGATGAAGAGGTCATTTATCTCGACGAAGAAAACTTCAGGAGGACTTGCTCGAGAACTTGTCCGGTAGAATGAAAGACGATAAGCAAGATCGCTCCGATAAATTTTTGTACTTAATCCTGCTCTCTAATTATTGTTGTACGCTTTTACATAACATAATATAAAGAAGTCGAATATCAGCATTAGATTTTTTTAGTGATTGAAAGCTCCGATTAATGATGAGATGATTAACTTGTTATAAGTAGATCTATCCTGGAAAAAGCGGAAGTTAGAGGAGAAGCATAGAACTTGCCTGAAGCTTGTAAGATTCAAAAGAACGTAATGATGTCTTCTTCTCGAGTGAATCTACCAACGAACTTGCTTCGACCAAATTTCGGAGACGCTCGTTTTCCCTTTGATGCTGCTCGGCTCTACAAAATCGCTAATAATAAGACCAACGAGCCGAGCAACGAAGTTCTTGATGATGAGAGCCATGTAGTAAGCCACGCTTTGTAGCCAAAAGAACATTGTTTTTACCTAACTTCAAGAAGGGGTAGAAAGTCCGGGGTGGGTGAGAAGGTTATCTCGCGCAAAAAGCTGAGATGAGATAAGAGTTGAACATCCAATTGGCTTACCCACCCAGGAGCTCCTCCCTCTCATAAAGTTATGTAAAAAATCCACAATTACATGAAAAAAGCTGTGAAACGTTTCCAAACACCATTACGAGCTTGGCTACTCTTCCTTCTCTTCGCTCTAGCCGTCAGTGATTCAAAAGGGCACTGCCCCCCCCCCCTTCCCCCTTCAACTACGTTTTCACCGGAACAATTGCAATACACTATACCTCATACGTAAATCATTTATCATCTGTTGTTGACGAAGGATGAGAGCGATCTCTTCCAAATCGCCTGACCCGCCGCTGAGCGAAACAGAATTGCCATCCGGTCCCATTAAAGAGAAAGGCTGTCGCCCTGAATCTTATAACATGAACTTTTCATTGTAGTGAGAACATGAACAAAACGGCTGCACAGAACCTTGTTCACTCCTCATGCTGCCACTCCGACTGAAGTGAGACGAAGCGAGAATGTTTGCATTCTGAAGCAGCTGTTCGCGCATCAGATCCCGGTCGCGTTCCACTACAGCACATCGTTCGCTTTCTGATTGAAGGCTTGTGTTTTAATAGTGATCCCAACAAAAATAAATCGCTTCAAGCACCTGCGGCAAGGGCGGTTCGTGCTTTCTGAAGATCTTCCTCCGCAGCTGTGACCTTATTATTTGACGTACTCAGCTGATTCAACAATTCCTCAATTTTCAATGATGCCTCCACTTTGTTCTGAATAAGTGAGAGATTATACAAAGAATATTAACCTGCTGGCAACCTGAAGTATAATCTTGCTTCCAGTTAACCTGATCTAAGCGAGATGAGAGCTCATGTATCCTAGTTTCTAGTTCCCCTTTCTGCGCCTCTTTGACATCGCACTCCGTCTCAAGTCGCTCAATTTCCAAGGCGAACTCCTCTTCTTTCTGGACCGTGGAATGCTTCCAATCACCTCTGGAAACAGAGCAAACAAACAGTATTTCCTCAATGGTTGACCGAAATAGCTGATCTCACATTTCCGCCTCAAGTGCTGCTACCTGTGAACGCAGCTTTTCATCGGACGACAAGAGTCGATTGCGCTCAGAAGTCTAAAAAATCGAAACCGTAAAAAACACGCCAGACTGTAGGGCAGCGTAAACAAAGGAAACAAACAAAACGAAAATCCCGCATATACAGAAGGTCTTTGAGAGGAGTCCGCAGATATGTTGCATGATGTGAAGCCAGTACCCTAACAAATGCTGTTCCTACTTCTAAGGCTTACTACAATGAAAGACAACTTAGGTAAGCAGTGAACCCAATCAAATCTGAAGTACGTCAGACGTCATAATTAAGACACAGTCTGAAAGGTAACTTAGCAGTGTATGTGTGTATGTGTATGGGTGTGTAGGTGTGGGTGTGGGTGTGCGCGTGTTTTGTGTGCGTGTGGTCTTTTAAGTACTTCAATACCGATTCGAGGCTGCTTTTTCCATTTATGGAAGAAATATCTTACTATACATAACGCGTTAAGTGTGTGTTGTGTGTATGTGTATGTGTATGTGTGTGTGGTATGTGTGTGGTATGTGTATGTGGTATGTGTATGTGTATGTGGTATGTGTTATGTGTATGTGGTACGTGTGTGTATGTGTATGTGGTATGTGTGTATGTGTATGTGTGTGTATGTGTATGTGTATGTGTATGTGTATGTGTATGTGTATGTGTATGTGTATGTGTATGTGTATGTGTATGTGTATGTGTATGTGTGTGTGTGTGTGTGTGTGTGTGTGTGTGTGTGTGTGTGTGTGTGTATGTGTGTGACCGGAATTTCATGACTCCGGTTCTCATGGACCTACAGAGTTTAAATTTGGTAGGAGAACAGGCGGCAGGATGGGAACACTTGTGGTTGGTCGCAAGACCGGACTCCACCCACATGGGGCGGGGTTTGTGCGAAAGTTTTAAAGTTGGACCTAGGGCGCTCATATTCAATAGAAATACAGGAGGCAGTGTGGGAGCACCTACATATGTCGGGCGGCAGGACTTGACTCCGCTCACAAGAGGTGAGGTATGGGAAAAAAAAGTTAGTTTAGACTCCAGGCGAAATTTCGAAAACAAGGTTGAATAAGGCGGAAATAAATCGAGTTACTCAAACACTCAGAACCTAAGGAGGTTTGCTCATGGTGGACTGGATGCGCACGAATTGTGTTGTGTGTTTGCGTTCGGCCGGAAATGAATAACTCCTGTTCTCATATACCGAGGATTCCTAACTTGAAGAAGGTGTAGGCGGGATGGACATTTCAGCACGAGAAGAAGGGCAGCACAGCGTCAGCCGAGCGAGCCGACTGGTATAATAAAATGCAGTTAAATCATCACTCACCATCACATCGAGTTTCATTTGAAGATCGATGATCTTGTTTTCAAGGCCAGTGTTCAACTTCTGGAGGTGTACCACAGATCGCGATTCAATCTATAATAGGATTAAAGATTTTTTGTTATGGATATGCTTTAAGATAAATTGTAGCTAAATGTAATTGTGGCCTGGTCAAAACCAAGGGCTGTTCGCAGCAAAACGATTTACAGGTACGTTTCCGGGATTAAGTTTGTTGCTTCCCAAATATGTAGAACTGTTCCCTGAAGGCAATTACGAGGGTTCCAGGATAATTCCGTAGCGTAAAGATCAGTAGCGTGACTCTAAAGAATAACTATAGGAGGATTACTCATAACGAAAAGAGAAGCATTGGATCAAGGGAAGGCACCTTCAATTGGGTGGAAGGAGCTGGTCATAACTAATATGTGTGTAAGCAAAGCGGTCCCTCCCCCAAGCGGTATAAACGCTAGGGAAAAGAAAATCATGCTCGTTCTTGCAATGACGTCTTCTGCCTTGTCGCTTGAAATTAGAGTGGCATGGTTCGTCCATCCTTGCACAGCTGCAGTCTGGTTTTTCACATATTCGGAATCGTTTTTTTTTTCATGCTGAGTGGTTTGAGCGAGGACTTTCTGCTAGGAGTTATTCTTATTGTTTTTTGTTTTTGATGGGGTACTCAGTAATCAGCCTGTCCCACTAACTCATGCGATAAGGCAATCTAAAAGCAAAAACCACGGGTATACATAGAAGCCGGAACAGACCCAAAAAAGAAGATACCATTTTTTATCTGGAAAATACGTAGTCCAAAATAATGGCTAGTCCCATGAAAATGTATTAGGTTGGTGCATAACTATTGCGGATTTTTTGCGGCTTTTTTTTCTCCCGATAGAATTTAAATATTGAGTTCGGATTTTTTCTAGAAATGAACTACTTGATTTCCTCTACAAAAGGGTACCAGAATACCATTCGCATAATCGCGAAATTAGGGTCTACTGCTTCGAGAAAGGTGTGAAGGTGGCTCAGTCATTCCGCGATCTCAGTAACTTTTTTTCAAACAAGTTTTATTTAATGAAACGTTAAAAATACTGAACAAAAACAGGTTCAAATAATTACTCAGGAACTTATCCACCATTTTCGTCAAGCATTGCTTCCCATTTGCTAGATAGTCGGATTCCAAAAGCGAAGACGTTTTGATCCTTGGGGGCGATCCACGTCTTGACATCGGCCATCAAGCCATTCAAATCGACGTAAGTTCTATTCCCCAGCCATTTTTTCAGCGAGCGGTTGGCGAGATAATCCATAGCAGTTTCTGCTGGTGAATGTGGCAGATTTAAGAGCAGATCCCATTTCTTGGTTGGTTTGGCTGGTTGTTCCATCGCCGAAAAGTTACTGAGGTCGCGGAATCACTCTGCCACCTTCCATTTCTCGAAAAAGTAGAGCATAATTGCGCGAATATGCGGATGGTTTTCTAGGTACATTTTCGTAGAGAAAAACAAGTAGATCATTTCTAGGAAAAACCCAAACTCAATATCCAAATTCTATCGGGAGAAAAGAAGCCGCGAAAAAATCCGCAATAATTATGCATCAACCTAATAGAATGACTGTGACCTAAGCCATCCACTTTTTTGTCTGTTTCAACTATTCGAAAACCCATTTAAATTCTGAAACAGCAACTCGTTGCATCCCAATGGTTCCCTCACAAACAGTTCTACCGACACTACCATAACTCAGAAGGAAGTGAGTGTGAGCTTATACATGCCCAAACTAACAAATAAGAGAACCATAAAGAGCAATCCTCGGCAGAAAACGGAGTCAAACAGCAGCAAATGTAAAACAAACCAAATTCGAATTCCTCTCAATCAGAGGGCAAGCGTAGTTAAGCGAGTACCTTGCCAAACTAGATTTGTTCGCTCTCACCTCCCCCTGCTCTAAAAAAACGAACGTAAAAGGCGACAAAGGATCAGATAATCTAAAATCTACACCGCAAATCCGCCTCTCCGAGTTGTACATCGCTCCTTCATGTTCGCTATTCCTATATAAAACAATGTCATACTTCCACCAACTCCTTACCGTGTTAAAGGCATGGAGAAGATTTATCATAACTGGGTTTGAGAGCATGTTTTGCAAGAAAGGGGGAGCCAGTACAAAAGGAACCCATCTGCAGATAGCTCTCGTTTGAAATGCTTCTACCCCCGTCTGCTTCCCAAGAATGTAGAGAATATCAGTAAAATAAAGACGTTCATAGCGAATTCAAGAGAAAAAACCTTTCTCACCTTAAGCTCTCGAAGACGCCTTTTAGCCAGCCATCGCCGCACACAACACTGGACCAGTACGACCTTACGTCGGAACTCGATCTTCTCTCGCCGCGCCAGATAGCCACGCCAGTATTTTTGTATAACAATGGCGGAACTCTCGAAGCGAAGCTATAAAAATACATCATACATCAGATAGTTCATACACAAAAGGTTGGATGATAGATTTACCACAAAACTACTTGCTGACAAGTGTGTCACCTAAAATTGTCGCATTGAAATGTTGTTAGCGCAGTAAAATAGTTTCGCAAGTCTCATGTTACAAATACTACTTATCCCTGCGTGGCAAGGAAATCGAAAAACATTACGGCCTCCTTCTTTTATGAAGGCACTCTCCTTCTCATTTATAACAGTAGACTCACTCATTCGCTTCTTTTGGCTTTGCCGAGCCATTCTCGACTTTTGCCAATATTCACCTTACTAATACTCTCCATATAGATGAATATTCCTCTCACAAAGGATTTTCTATGGAGAAACTACTTGTTCAGTATGTCGCGAAGAAATATGAACAAAAAAATGCTACATGAAGTAGCGCCTCCACTCATCATTTGGCGAGGATGATCTACGAGTTTTGATGAACAAACATAAATAATTCAACCTTGACTGAGCTGGACGTCCACCCCTTGGAGGTCTTCTCCTGCATCTTCCGAGGCAGTAATCACGGAAAACCCTCTGGATGACCCTATTACATGACGTTGCACGCCTATTAACCACGAATTGCTCCATCTGGGTTATCACGCTGACTGAACATATTCACGGTCCAAGAGAAAAACGGCTGCATATGCATTTGGAACGTATGACCAATATGGAACGTTAACAAAGCCCTCTACTATGAAATTAATAGAGGTATGAAAAAAAACACAAGGGCACTCTTCAAAACCAAGTCGAACAGCCAGAGGAGTTTTATACCGAAATCCAGAACATACAAAGTTCGCGCGATCAACTCATTCACGGCTCACTGGGTCATGAAATTCTTAAATTTGATTCGCGCGTCAGAGTTTACGCTGATCAGGACATTTCCTGACCTTTGTGTCCTCAGATTGAGGTATGTTTCGGTGATTGACATTTGATAAACTGAAATAAATTTTCGCTGGAGTGCACTTCTATTACGAGACAACCGGGGACGGCGGACCTATTTATGTATATCGTACCCCTTACAGTATTGACTACATAGATAACGATACTGAATACTGAACGATTAGGACTGGAAATTCGTAGAATACTTTCAATTCTAATCGCAGCAGCGCTGGAGAAACCTCATTTTTGTCGTTCTCCAAGATCGATTTTCGGGGTGAAGTCGATACATTATGGAAGACCGGCCTTGGCAAAACAAACTGCATCGACGTGATAATACGCCAGTGAACTCTATATGCGACCAGGGTAGTCTCCGTGTAGGGTGAAATTAAACTCAACTGCCCCCCCCCCCCCCAAATGAGATCTCAAGATTGCTCAGTAAATAGAAGCATATTGTTAAACATAGCGGTGATTACATAGTTGACTGTTTCATTCCTAAGATAAGAGAGATCGGATTAGAGCATTCCGAAGCCTCCCGAGCCTGCTTGATATATCCGGACTACGAAGGTCAGCTGCTCTCATTCAGATGAGTACAAGAGTGAATACTGATCGAATTTAAAGAATCACGTGAACGACATGCTTTCTGGCGAGACAGGCGTTTGCTTGGAAAGCAATCCCTTCAAGAGGAATAAGGGCAGCTGATCTCTGAAGGCGCTACATCCAGGCGTTATCAGCTGAACCGTGTGGAATGAGTCAAACAAGAAAAGTGTCGTCCCCGATGAAGTGTTTTTCAGCGTGAAACTATCTCACCAAGCAACGTGATGATGAGCATGCTATAATACTTTAAGTCGTATCCCTTCTCACTCACAACCTTTAGCTCTACATCGTCTACTTGTGAGGCAACGTTCTTCTTTCCACCACAAAGAGCAAGAATCGATGGAAAGAAACACCTATTATAGATTCCTAACTATAGACGTATCTGCTAACGCGAAATGGAAGAGAATTAATCAATCTTTATACTCAAGAATTTCAACGAGGCTGGCCCCTGCTCACGCGACCAAGAGAGTTAAAATTTTTTGCCAAACTAACTTCGTGGGTCTCATCGAACTAGACATGTAACCAACAGCCTGACGATACTCATTCTTGCGCTAGATTGATGCCTTTCCGAAGAGTCCTCGAGCCTGCACTGATGCTGTGTGGAGTTATATTTGCTATGCTGAATACTGTCCCTTAGAGATTAATACATAAATTTTGCACGCGCACTGCTTGAATCGTCGCTCTCCCTCAACTTTAATTGGTATCAGCCACGTAGATACCCAATTCCGCGGAGAAAAGGCTCACAAAACACTATGTCCACACCTATTCAGACGCTTGGAATGGAAGGTTGGATAGAGAAAATTTATAGAAGGATATGCAATAATTTTTTCATTCAAGTGGCCAGACTTCGCAAATATATGCAGGTAAGAATAAAGCGAACCTTCTGAACATACGCACGGACTTGAGAAGCACGGAAATGAGTCTGGATTGCAACAACGGCACATCGTAGTTCACGATAACGGCGTTCACAGATATAACGCCTGCAAAAAATATTTCAACTGATAACTACAATGTTTCGATCAAGGATAAACCAAATCGGAAAAGAATGGTGGGCTTCAAAATGAGAACTAAAGTAGTCGACACTCAAACCACTGATTTATTCTAACACTGAAATTTGGTAGTCAGCGGGAGGAATCCATTTTCAGAGTCAATAGGGCCACAAACCTTTTGCCACGAATCTTTGTATTTTACAACAGTTCAGGCCAGTAACCAAAAAAGTGTGTCACAGCTTTGTGGTCATAGAAGTAGAAGTCCTACCGGTAAGAAGACTGAATAACAATAGCAGCGCGATGCATTTGAAGGTAAAGTAGACGTCTGACAGCAAGAAAAGCTCTCGTGGCCGCCTGCAAAAGAAAGGCCCAAACAACTCATTCAACATGCTGAACTTAGAAATAAACAGCAGCGCCACTGCTGGAAGCTCCCGAAACCATTCAGAAACGAGGCCAAGGAACATGAGTCGGAGGCGTTCTCCCCAGAGATGAGCGCGGTTGCCCTCATCAATCGAGTTTTCATATCAAAGCCTGGCATAAAAAAACTAGTCCAGCAAGATTTGATATTTTGAATTGATTCTTACGCCATAGTTTGGTTATAAACCAAAGACTTATATAAGTTGGCAAGTCGATAAGACGACGAAAAAAATGAAAAAATGAAATGGTATCAAAAAAAAAAAGAGTGAAATGAAGTTGTTCAAAAAGTGTTAGCATGACAAGCTAGAAGTTAGAAAATTGACGTTTTCGAGCTAGGATAAACTGGGAACAATAAGGGAGTACCAAACTGGTAATAAAAAACGTAGCAGCCGAATGCAGCAAATAGAGGGGTTTGAAACAACGTGCATACCTGAATGGTGAGCAAGCTCTTCCGTAGAACGAGGTATTTTCTTCTGGCAGAAAATCGTCGCCAACACGACTGAATAACTGTAGCAGACACACTGAGGGTCTCAACTCGAACACGTTCTAGCAGTGCCACTTGTCCGGTGCGGAAGAAGATTTTGGTCTTGCCGAGGGCAAATTTACCTTCCTGAAGGAGAGTTAGAATTGTATCACTAGAATGACTACACTGAAGAGCTCGCGAGAATTAACCTCAAGCCACTTGTGACACGCTTTTTCGGCAAATATCCTCGGCTTATCCCGCCACATAGCTTTCCCTTCAGGATAGAGGACTCGATAGCGTCGTGAAAATTCTTCATAAGTCCATCTGAAATCAGCATGGTGGAAAAAGAAAAAATGCCATATGACCGGAGGGAGGATAATTACCTGGTAGGGAAGCCAGCAGCGGAAATGCGTACTGTTTCCAAAACGCCGCAGGCTCGCAACTGCTGAATTGCTCGCTTGGGCTCGAAGTGAAACCTAAAAGTTGTTGTAACAACAGCAAGAGTTTGTAGATCGTCACAAGCGGAATGAGAAACATTGCGACCATCAACCACCTACCTCTCCTTCAAGTCATTCGGTTTAATGCAACGAACGTAGTGTGGACGCGTCGTACAGAGCACTGCCATCAAATCTCGAAGGGAATCTCGAAACTGGAACGAGTTCATCACTTAGAACTGGAGGCTCCAAAGAAAAAAAAATCATACCTGACTGGCAACAGTTTTCTTAACCGTTTGCTTTGATGGTACACTATCGTCGAAAACTATAGCAGATCCGAGGATTTCACGAAGTAAAGCAAACTAAAATGAAAATTTATAATTGTAGTCAACGAAAATTGCTGCAAAAGAAAGTTGTGGGAGCAACAGAGAGAGGAAAATCAAAAGGCTCACTCCGGAAATGGAAACCAGCTCCAGTAGTTGCTTGCTAACAGCGTCTTTATTTTTCTCCAAGAATCCTTCGACAGTGTATGGAACCTGAAACTTGAATGCTTAGAAAGAAAAACGAAATTCAAGTTAATAGAAGTCGCAAAAAGTCAGAAGAGTCATAAGAAACTCACATCTGCAGCGAAGTGTTTTACAATGAACTTTGTGCATCTGACACGAGGTATTTGTAGATGAGCATTTTTCTTTAACGAAGCAGAAGTCGTCACTTGATTCAGCCACTCCAGATCCGAGCCGTTTACCACCTCAACATTCATCGATTTCAGTTCTAACTATTGAAGGAACTAGGTAAAGAAATCGGATTCGCACCTTGCACTGTTCATTAAGATACTCTATGAGCCCAGGTCTACCTTCGATGAGATCGATAGCCGGTTGGTTGTCGTGGAAGTCAATACGCACCCAGGAAAGTTCTTCCCGTTCGTATTCTTCTTGCTCAAGTTTGAATACATGCTGAAAATCATCAATGTTACTACTGTACGAACCAACAACTCGGACACTTTTTCCTGAAATAATTAAAACAAAAAAGAGAATAGGAGCTCACCTGGTTGAAGTGTTGTTGTAGTTTCTCATTAGCATAATTGATGCAAAACTGCTCGAAGCTATTCACATCAAAGGTCTCGAACCTGTAAACTTGCGCATAATACAGTACCGATACTGGGTACTAGTGACCTCAAGCTGATCAATTGAACAACAGCCACAGCAGCTGAAAACCAGGGAGAGCTCATGGAAATTGCCAGCCACCTCTTCACCAAAGAGATACTCGCTTCAGTTTACTTTGCTTAGCCAGCAATATTAGTAGCGCCCAGCGGACGGGGCGAGTTCCCAACACTATTAAATTGTGAGAGCCAGTAAGAATGAAGCTTCGTCGAGTTTGAATGCAATGAAAATGTGGCTAAAACACCTACCCGTAGATGTCAAGGACTCCTATGAAGCTTTTGTTTCGAGAAATCCTTCGTTCTTTTTCTGTTAACGCTTCATTGAAGTGGTGTACAAACCACGAGAATAACTGCGCATAAATCAGTTTAGCAAGAGCGTCACGCGACCGCACAGCCTGAAAACGAACATACAATTAACTGAAGGCGGCGTGTTTTTTTCCGAACAAAATCGAGGAAACTGTCATTAGAACAATACAAAAACAACACAGTAAACAAAGGGTGTTGCTGAACCCCAGGGCTGAATAGAGAAAAGGCCTACCTCACGTGGTTGTAGGCCCTTCCTGACACTCTCTCCCGCCGCACGGATCTCCCGAACAGTTAACCAAAGTCGCAGCTGCGCTTCGTCGATTTTGTAATCCGCACATAACTGCGAGATTTCTGCAGCGTTCATAGGCTATAATCCACAAAAGTTCAAAACGATGTGGAGCGAAGCAGTGCAAGTGAGAGCTTACGTACCGATATTGTGCAGTTATCTCCATCTTCTTTGAATTCTATATTGCCAAGAAGCAAGATTCCCTTCAATATACGAAAAACCGACTTTTGTTTTTCGCTTCCAAAGCCGAGTAACTCGAGGGCCTGTATGAGCGCAAGTTTAGAAAATGGAAAATAAATCGTGAAAAACATTACAGTACCTTCAAAGTTTCCATGAAATCTTCTCTATCGTCGACGCCAGGGATTCTGCTGTCTCCACCCTGTGCAGTATACCAGTAAACGTCACTAGGTCCTATAATACGAGGAGATGGCTGCAATTCATGATCACCTCAGACAAAAAAAAACCAGAAGCCGCCCCCCCCCCCCCCCCCCCCCCCCCCCCCCTCCCNAGCAGTAACGATATTACTTTAGTTTGCACTGAAGTCACAGTTCACGTGCTTTCAGGTACCCTTCTGGAGTTGAAAAGTCTTCGTGTTGGTGCCCTTATTACGCCCTATCTGGGTCGTTTCTCGTTTTGACAGAGCCACAATGTCATGCACGGATGCCACAGTTTCAAATTAGAGGGATATCACGAATACTATTTTTGTTAAAAGTGCATCAAAGGTGTCTGGTAAATTACAAGAAGTCATTCAAGGAACACCTAAAAACATACGGCAACGCATGATAAGGAGCTAGGCACTAGGGTTCAAGTCATTTATCATTAAGATTTACCAAAACGCCAAGGCGGAACTTAATACAATCATGATGTTCCAAAACCATGAATTATATCTTCAAAAAACAAATACCGAGCGTCAAATCCCGTAGCAACGGATGGTCCCGAGCTGCACAAAGCTGGTAAAAGATATGGTAATTTCGCTCTTGAGGTGCCTGAATAATTCTAAGTGCACACACTGGATATGTAGAACAGAAGATCTATAGGATAAGCTAGCAATAATGTACCTGAAAAACTAGTCGACTCTTTTCAAGGAGGTAGGTCTTCAATTCCGCTCCAGATATCGTGAATTTTTCGTCAAAGTTAATTTGAATGAACTTGCCAAACCGAGAAGAGTTGTCATTTCTGAAGTTCCAACAGATGAACACAACTGTTATACCAGTCTAAGGGATGAAGTTGACTTTTATGAGCTCCTACCACTACAGTCGATTTTATCAACCGTTACATCTATTACCAAAGACTGATGAACATCACCTCTCACTTGTCAGAATCAAAGTTACTGCTCACCACTCAAAAATACTGTGGTTCCTGCTTTGTTACCATCCTTCATGAGCCATTATTCCTTCTCATCAATAGTCATGATCAACGTGTGTAACGGTGTAACTTTCCACAGTTAAGATGTGACGACTGAATGAGATGCGCCATGAATAACGCAGAACACTTCGTAAGGAAAGCGTGCTGTGTGAGGGAAACAGCTTCAGCACTACTCAGGACAATATGGATCAAGAGATGGAGGCAGCGTACTGACAATGGGTGGACGAAAAGGTACCAGTCGGATAGTTTCAAAGGGAAAAGGAAGTAGGGGCTAGGTTCTGATGGCTTGCTTCATGAGAATTTACAAAGGATTACGAATGGCTTTGATAATGTCGTAGCAGTGGCCACCACTCACAGTGGTGTCAGTGGTCGTCATTCACATCTATAGTGCATTGTAACCCTACCAGCTCAGCTGGCTCACAATGCTGCGACCTCGACGGCAGCGCCTCACGTTCCCCTAGGCTATCTTGTAAGCTACTTATTGTTACTATCGGATGGAAACTTCAATGCCGGTAATAAAGTAATCATTTCTCAAAGCCCTTCTTACCTTTGAAGAGTCTTGAACACAACTGTTATACCAGTCTAAGGGATGAAGTTGACTTTTATGAGCTCCTACCACTGCAGTCGATTTTATCAACCGTTACATCTATTACCAAAGACTGATGAACATCACCTCTCACTTGTCAGAATCAAAGTTACTGCTCACCACTCAAAAATACTGTGGTTCCTGCTTTGTTACCATCTTTCACGAGCCATTATTACTTTTCATCAATAGTCTTGATCAACGTGTGTAACGGTGTAACTTTTCACAGTTCAATGTGACGGCTGGATGAGATGCGCCATGAATAACGCAAAGCATTTCGTACGTAAAGCGTTCTGTGTTAGGGAGACAGCTTCAACCCTGTTAAGGAAAATATGGATCAAGACATGGAGGCACTACGGCCTACGAATCGGAGACTGTCACGATATTCGCAGACAGCTGCACAGATAAGATCGCGTAGACCTTTCCACTCTATTCCACGTAAACAACAACAATGCAGAAGAAAGAGGCATCTTTTATAGTCCACGATTTTCCGAGCAACCAGTCGCGCGACCGTTCGCGGACCCATCTCGCGAGCGAGTGGTCGCTCGACTGATCGCGCCACCGGTCGCTCGATCGGTCGAGGAGGCTACGCTAGTTATGGGTGCCGCCGAGGACGGTCCCCAGCAGTTCGCGCGATCAGTCGAGCGACCAGTCGCTCGCGAGATGGGTCCGCGACCGGTCGCGCGACTGGTCGTGGACTATGAAAGCAGCCAGAGGGTTAGCAACGGTTCGGGCGTCTTACTTTACTCCTACAGAAAATGACAAACTTATTATATTCAAGGCATTCAAACATGAATCACGTATTCTATGACGAAGTAGTTTCAATTGATACGAAAAAAGCTAATGCTTCCAATTTTATCCGCGAGCTCTTTAAAAAGCCTTTAAGAGCCTTCAACCTATGCCTTAATGGGGTTCAATGTATTAGCATTGCCTACCGAATTGTTTTAGCATTGCCAATGGCTTCCATGATCGGGTTCGTGGCAAGGACCCTATTTTCAACTCCAGCTGAACCATCACGATGTCCAGCTACGGAAGCGAAATATCTGAAAAGATGTTAAGAAAAGATATGCGAGGAACCTATCGTCGAAGAAATGAAAAAATACGAGAAAAAAACTTGTATTTTCTGCTACTTACTTCATAACAAACTTGGCTGAAACTGTTTTACCCGCTCCTGATTCACCACTAACGATTATTGATTGGCATTTGTGGAATTCTGCTAAGTCAAAGAAAGCCTGAAATGCACGAACGGCACTTTTCCAACTTGTCATTACGACGCAAGATTACTTTTTAGTTATGCTGAACGGGTACAGACTTACTTCTTCTGCTACTGCATATATGTGAGGATCCAATTCTCGCACCTGCTTTCCTACACCTCTGTAGACCTCAAACAAAATATTTGTAGGGCTCCGTTACAGAAAAACCAGGATTCATTATAACACGTATTAGAGTCTGGTATATAAAAGTAGTGACCGACAACATGGTCAAATGAGACATCAAAAAAAAAACGACCTGAGTACCTGAATGACATCCTCTCCGTAAAGATGTGAACAGTCAGCGTATGGGTTGATGGCTACTAGAACAATTCCGCAATAGGTGTAGATGACCTCTCGCTCAATGAATCGCACTTGCAAGTTGTGAAGAACTGAAATCCGTTCATCTCTACCAAAGGAAAAAGCTGACTAAAGTTTTTTCTTGCGGCTTCTGAAACACAACTCAATGTTTACCCATCTTCTTTTCAGTTTTCTCGATCTTATACTTCCCCTTCCGAAAAATATTACAAATACATCAACGATTACGGTCGTAATAAATCGAGTACTTCTATCTTTAGAGTCCTATTAGATTGAGGATGAAAATATTTGCTATAAATCGGCAATTATCAGAGCTCTATGATCAGAACCTCTGCTAGAAAAAATGGAAGAAAAACTAACCGGCAGGTTCGTGAAGATATGAAAGAGCTGTGAGATCATCCTTTCCAACAAGTATTGCGGGATTTCGGAGGAAAGGAAGCTGATCGGCATTTGTTACCTCAACCTCCACAACCTGAATTGAAGGAATCGAAGAAGTTGAAGTAAGCGTGTTGCATTTCTAACAAACCTGGCCGTCCTCAAGCCGTATGCGAACTGTCCTGGTCGAAAAGGTGATGTCGTGCTCTAGTTCGCCAGGAATCCATACCAGCTCCGGATGACGGTGCCAGACTCGCGTGCCCTTCTTAAACAAATCTTGAGATGATAATTTCCATAAGTTTTTCGTAGTCAAAATGATCGACCAAGCAAAGTAGCGAAGCCCTTCAGTACACCACATTTACCCCACAAGGAAACTGGTGGGAAGTTGGAATCTGATAGTTAACTGGAGAAGCAGACCGGACTATGTTAAGTTCATGATCAACAAACAAAAAATGTCGCTCAGAATCTGTCGAACTGTCGATATCAGCGTGCAGACTGGTCATTCAGACATTTGATTTTGGGAGCTGCGCCGGTGCGCTCATTGTGGATAAGACACCATGGTCATACGGTGTAAGTGAGCGAAGAGCCCATTCGATGCTAGGGACCCTCACAAATCCAGAAATACGTTAGATCATTTTGAGTGGGTGAATAGAAAATAGGTATAAACATGAGATTTATGATTACTAAAGATTAAAAACATCGCAAGTCTTATTAAAATTCTAATTTTTATTATATAATGCTATCATAAGTAAACATGCGATGACAAAGATGAGTTCTTTGGCGTCAACCAATCCCGACGGAGGGACGTACGCCCGCATTTGACTTTTATTCGGAACCGTGGTGGTGCATTTCATATATTGGCTAGCAGTGGCAAACGAATCCACAAGTTAGCTTCTGTCTTCCCAGAAAAGTATGATAACAATCAGGATAAGGCTCCGTTCGTCTAGGCTGACACCAATCCGGTCCTATCCCTGGAACTTGCATGCATGATAGCGACCAAATACACCAACGTCCGCCTCTAAAGACGTGATATTGCTAGATCATACGGCGGAAGTGTAGTTAAGGAGGGAGTGGAGGGGGGGGGGGACGTAACATTGTTGGACCAAGGAAATAACACGGTTTTACGTGTAACAAATGCATGCAACTTGTTAATTAAGCCTCAAGAGGGAAGGAGCACAGGGGCGAGCACAATCTCAGCTCTTCACGAAGTAATCATCTCTTCCACTCTGGAGTCCTACTCTACCAAGGCTTAATCCCGGGTTCTATCAAAATCACCCTTCTCCAGCTACATTCTCACCGATAATGCGACACAGTGATCAGATTTGAAGTTGTCCGAACGCCCTTGAGCTTCTTATACTCGTACACTTCAGGAAGGAAAATTTGACAAGAACATTCATCGCAGGTGAAATTGAATAGGAGGTGAAAGCAATAAATTAATCGGCTGGAAGGAATAAGAAGGCACCCGCTCTGCAGCTCACTCCGGGTATGCGCGGAAATGAAAGATTTGGTAAGGGCCGTGTTCAAACTTGTTAATACAACGCAATACTAGCAATTTCCCATGTTTCTGCACGTTGCCTTCCCAACAAGATTATCTATTAGCGTCCGGGACACCTATCTGTACTCGAACAATCTTCTAACTTATCCAAATTTTAACCCATTGGCGACAGCGCGCGTTTTGGATTTTTCGGCCGCGTGGGACATGAGCGTTTTGGAGGGAGCAGCCGGCTTGACGCGCATGCGCGTCAAGATGTCCTACGAGGTGCACTTTTTGGAAGCCAAAGCTCAGAGGCAACTTCAAAAGCGTATTATGTTGGTGAATGAGAAGAGTAGTCGACAGGGTGGTGCTCTGCCTGTCTGCTCCCTCTTAGCGATATAGAAACAGCTGCAAAGCACTTGTAACGCGAAGACAGGAAACTGGCACCTAGAGGTCTAGAAGGCTGTAGGAAAGGGAGAATCGGGGATAGCAAGTAATTTTGCTTGCTATTAGTGAAATCTGGAATATGTGAATTTCCATTGCCTCGCTAAGACAAGTACAGACAAGTCGTGCGCCACTTAGTCTCCTGGCCAATTGCAAATTCTCATAACATCAACGACGAGGAACATCTCGAAAGAACATCTATAAAATGGCTGGAGTTGCAGACGCTTTTAAGCTGTACAACGATGTGATGAAGAATATCAGGCTTAATGACTTCAAACTAGGAATGGTCCAATCTCTGCTAAATGCTGATTATGGTTACACTTCGAGTCATCACTGTCACTCCATGCGACATGTGTTGGAGGGGGTACCTAGAGGTTTACAAGGAAACAGGATGAGATGTGTAGAGTGTTACGCAGCAATGTCCAAAGAGCAAGGATCTGCTAGAGCATCGAAAAGAACAAAAAGGTCAGCCCACGTTGCAGTAGGTTCAGGAAATTATTTCGCATTGATTGTTTCAATAAAAAACACAAGTCTTGTCGCATAGAAACGTAATCTTTTGAAGTTATTGTGTCTTGTTACTAATTACTTATGCTTAATTCTATGACTTATTTATGTGTTTGTCCTGAAAAAGAAGTCAAAGTTTAGTTTTGGGTGAGATTTTTACAAGTTTTGGAAAATCTTCGCTGGAATGAACCATATTTGCTCCGATCATGTTGGCCACGTTGTTTGTAGAAGTCTTAATGTTTTGTCTATCGAATAAACATAGAAAAACTCCAAAAAGTTGCGATCTCGCAAAAAAGGAGTGGTGACAAAATCTTGACGCGCATGCGCGTCACTCGGTCCCTCGCGGTCTGCAAGGCTTGACGCGCATGCGCGTCAAGGTGTCGTCAATGGGTTAAGAAAACATGTACCACAATCACTGTCTTGCGCACAACGCAGACGTTCTTACTTTGAAGGCACAGTTCACGGTAATTTCAGGTAATCCAGATTATGACGAAAAATGGAGGATAAGATGGAAAATAGTAAAGTTAAGGTGAAGAAACTACGTGAATCGCAGTTAAGGTGAAGAAACTACGTGAATCAGTGTTTCCAAAGTAAAAAAAGGCTTCGAAAAATCGCTGAAAATGGGGCTGGACGAAAATGAAACCAGAAAAATGAAGAAGAATGGGGCGCTTGAATGAGCTATACAATGTGTTTCATTGCCGTGTGGTGTAAGCAAAAATCATTCACTCATAAAAGGAAGTCAACAAAAAAACCTTGTAATAGCAAAAATAGCCAACCTTTTTCAGCAGGATCGCAGCAGTAAAAAGATCAACAGATAAAAAAAGAATGGGAGAAAACATCGCCTTATCACTCGACAATCAGCTGATCGTGTGTGTGGGTGTGTGTGTCCTAGAACGAATATCTCAATCTGTATTGCCTTCTACACTCGTCTGACGTGACTTCGATCGAGGAGCGGGAAATACAGGCAACTCCGGTAACGGGGCTCCCACTGGGCCTTAGGTGATGAGTTTTGGAAGTCGACAGCGTTTTTCCTGTTTTCCTTGGGTGTGACTGGGTATTCTTTGGGGGGGGGGGGGGGGGACAACTCAGAAAACATTTTTTTTTATAGGGAACTTGCCTTTCACGACAGTAATTGCTAGATGAATATAAATGTGCTAATACAATGATGATGATGAAGACTGGATGTAAGATAGCACTCCTTACATTTCGTGCAGGCCCGGCAGTGAAGACCACCACCGAACGGTTTATAGACTGTAGCTTAGTAAAATTCAAATACGGTCGCTTTTGAAGAAAATGTAGTATTTACATTAACTCCTCGAAAAAGCTTTTCGTTGAGGAAAAGGACATCATATTAGAGATAATACTCTTGGATGCAGTATCTCCTTTCATTTTCTTACGCGTTGATGTCGTAGCCATTAAATATATCAGTATATATCAGTACTTTCCAGCCAGCCACCACCAATATTTCTAACTATCACCTTCTGAGATTAGCGTAAACGTTGTACTGTAAGTTAGCGGAATTTTCGACGTACACTTTGAATTTTGCATATCTGCCTTAGCAGCAACTCCAACAGTAACCTGAGGCTATACTGTCCCCCCCACCTTCCACACTTTCACTTCTGTTCGTTGCTTTGTATTTCCCCATTTTGCGATTTGCAGATCGACTATGTTCCAGGCAGCACCTGCACCATATCGCACCTTTTTTCTACCACTCCGGCTCCAATATAGAAGGTGCCGAGGTCGTTATGAGGAAAACGTATAAAAGCAAAGTCCCAAGTTGAAGACCATTGTCCCCAGTACAAACGCTCGATATGGCTAACCTCACTATTGAAGACATAGAAAGTTCCCGCTGAGCTCAACTTGTGCAAGCTAACCAAGGCGTGTGTTGACAACGGATACTTTTCATTCTACGAGAGAATGATGAAAATGATTGGAGCTCACTATTCCACTATGGAAGGGTGGAAGAGACCGGTCGATATACACTGCACCACCTTGGTATTGTGGACAGTGAACGTCGCGTGAATGTCTGTTCGACTCTATTCAACTGGCACAACAACATATGGTTGGAAGCTCTCATCACTAGCGATGGAAAGTGGGAGCAGTACACAAACTTCTGTACGAGGATACAGTGGCCCGTCCAGGAGAAGAGGTGGAAGACACTATCAAAGATGTTCACTTCATATTATTCTAATGGGATGTACATATGCTATGTAGTACAGGGTGGGCCAAAATTATGATTACACAGAAATTACCTCGCAGAAAACGAATCGAATGCTCTCAGAGCAAACCAATTTCATTAAAGGATTTAGCACAAATTTCTTATCAAAACTGTACATTGAGACTGGGATCTCTTGCTTTTTGCTTTCACCCAACCCCAAAGACGACGATGGACGGCATTGACGGTGGCACGCAGCTAGGGTCATCAAAATGGTCCCGGCTTTTTGCTGAGCATTTACGAGGTTATTTCTTCTCTTGTTTGGGCTAAAGGATGCTTTCATCTCAGAGGCTGACCACATTGAGACATTCATGGGATTTAGGTCAGGGCTCCAGAGTGGTCGCTGATCGAAGGTTATGAAGTCAAAAAACCACTTTCACGAAACTTTTCGACGATTTTCGATCTGCGGCCGGGAGCTTCATCTTGACAATATGTCCTATTTGAATCGCGAAAGTGTTCTATTGCGCTCGAAGAGATCAATCAGGCATCCAAACCAACTTTCACTCCATAATTTACAAGAATAATCGGTGTGTTTGCCCCGGCGGTGATGCTGGTACAGGCCATCACAGAAAGTTAGTGAGCCAGGCGCTGTATCACTTTCATTTCTTTAAGCTTCATGTAAATGTTATCGCTCTACTTATTGAGCACCTATTTCACTGTGAATCTTTTCTCGTCGGTGAACAGGAATTCCGTAGGACAATTTTTTCGGATGCGACAGGCAGCTTTTGTTAGCCAACCTTTCTCTTCCCTTTAACCTGCTCTCTGGG